CTCATGAATTAAGGGCGTAGAAGCCTGAAGAGTCAAGGGCGTAGAAGCCTGAAGAGTCAGTGGTTTATGTCATCAAGTTATTGGAAGCTCCAACAACTTTCCCTGAATACGAATTCGCAACTTTCGACTTACAACAGGTACCTACTTTACTGCTAGGTGAACAGGGACTAATGGGGGCTAGGAAGTAAGTCCAAACAACTTCCACCGGCCCGGGAATCGAACCCGTGACATCTCACTTGCGAGGCACCCCCATTATGCATTGCTGAGGTTTCAGTTCCTCCGGGGAGCGAGCAAGGGCAGGCTGAGGTCAGCGTATGTACAGCAACAAGATATCTGACGCGTTTCATTCCCGAAGTCTGCTTCGCTCTCTCTCACTGGGTCAGTGAGAGGAGACTCATATCACTTGTTAATCAGTGAGCACCTCACTTAGGTGTTCTCCTATAAGTGCACTAAGACACTTCCTTTAGCAGAGAAGGTACAATGTATTCTCAACTGAACTCAGTACCTGTGAAACTATATTTTTCTACAATAAAGCAATATGGAATGGACAGGTGGAGCATCTGGTGAGTTATCGGGGTGTGTTGGTCACACTATATATACAGTATATATATATATACACTGTATATAGTGTGATGGACAGGTGGAGCATCTGGTGAGTTATTGGGGTGTGTTAGTCACACTATATATATATATATATATATATATATATATATATATATATATATATATATATATATATATATATATATATATATATATATATATATATATATATATATATATATATATATATATATATATATATATATATATATATATATATATATATATATATATATATATATATATATATATATATATACTGTATATATAGTGTGACCAACACACCCCAATAATTCACCAGATGCTCCACCTGTCCATTCCATATTTTACTACTTAAAATATAGTCTTTTTTATATTTAAATCATTTGTTCACTACAGGAATCTAGAATGAGCAAGAAATACGTTGGTGCTATCTTTAACCAATTTTCTAAGTATCCTGAGGCTGCTGCAATTTCCCAAAAGAGTGCTGTATGTGTGGCTGACTTCCTTTATAGAACCAAATGACGACTTGGATAGAGTGCTCGCCTCATTGGGTCGGTGGTTCGATCCCCAGGCACTCCCAGTTCACCCAGCTGTCAATAGATACCTAAGTTTACAACTTGTGGAGGTGAATGCGGTCAAGTGTAGTACCGGCCATGCTGCCTTCTTGTGTACTGAAGGCTTAGTATACAATATGCTATATCCAAACTGTCCCTAGTGGGTAGTCACTTAGGGACCCACCTTCACTTTCAATAACACATACCAGTTTACAGTTTCCAGAATGTACAAGATATTTTGGTTCCTAGTATCACTAGTTATTTTGATTTTGTTGGTATGGTGCAACAATTATTTGATAAAGGTGTTCGTCACCGACTCCTATTTACACTAAGACGTGAATGATGCCGAGGTGTTCAACCTTTGAAAGACCAACGCACGCCATTGTATCGAGTATGTGTCTGTCAATTCAGTACTGATGTTCGTCATGCCATCACCGGGAATTGTAACCACCGTCCTCCGGCGTGGTTGTTTGTTATGATCACACGTAACGCTGGCGGACAGCGGAAAAGGTATAAGGATAGTTTTAAGACAAACCTGAAAAAGTGCCAAATCGATCGACCCACTAGCGTAGCTAGGGGGGGGCGGGGGGGGGGCGGCCCGCCCCGGGCGGCACTTTTGGGGGGCGGCACTTTTGGGTCTGCTCATCACCCATATCTGCAGCTACTGGAGACGTTAATCCATCCCTTTGTATCGGCGGCAAGTTAATCCTCTTTACTGCTTTTGTTGCAAACTGTTTTCAGACAGAAGTAACTCAAAATTTAATTCTGAGGATGGATTCAACATATGGTGGAAACTGAATCCTTGAATATCCGAGCACGAATCCGGTGCAGCTCACGTTCGGAATTTCACACAATGGAAGGAGTTGGAAATTAGGATTGCTCGTGGAGCAACAATTGATAAAAAAGAACAAGAAGTTGTTGAAAGCCAAGTGAAAAAGTGGAAGGAAATCCTTTCAAGATTGCTTGATATTATTAGATTCCTAGCTAAACAGAATTTGGCTTTACGAGGCCACTGAGAAGGAATGAATTATGAGAGAAACGAGACTGAAGCAACGGAAAATAGAGGAAATTTTTTAGAGCTAGTTGATTTGTTGGCGAAATATGATCCAGTGCTACGTGAACATCATCTAAGAATCCAGCTGGGAAACAAGTTTGCTACTTCCTATCTGTCTCCTACTATTCAGAACGAGTTTATAGAAATTTTGGGAGAAAACGTAAGAAGCAAAGTCATCAAGCAAGTAAAAGAAGCAAAGTACTTTTCCATGGTATTCGACAGCACTCCTGATATTTCACATAAGGATCAAACGAGCCAAGTTTTACGCTATGTTATGATCGATGGAGATAAAGTGAAGGTTGTGGAATCATTTGTCGATTTCATTGAAACAAAAGGTAAAACCGCCGAGAATATTTCAATGATGATTTTGGAAAAATTAGAGAAAGACGGAATTGATATTCAAAATTGTAGAGGGCAAGCATATGATAATGCTGCGGTGATGGCTGGTGTTCATACTGGTGTTCAGAAATGTATCAAGGAAATTAATAAAAAAGCAGAATTTGTCGCTTGTACAAATCACTCGCTGAATTTGGCGGGTGTTCATGCAGCTTCTGTTGCTGTGAATTCTGTTACCTTTTTTGGATGTGTGGAACGTTTGTTTGTATTTTTTTCTTCATCAACCCATCGCTGGGATGTTCTAACTTCAGTCACTGGTCAAAGTGTCAAGCGCATAATAGAAACTCGGTGGAGTGCGAGGGGAGAAGCTGTAAGTGTTGTAAAGAAACATTTCTCAAAAATCTTAAGTGCCCTAGATAAGTTAACTGGTGAAGAAGAAAATACAGCTACCAGGGCAGATGCTGGTGTTCTACTTGGTGCGTTGCAATCATTTTCCTTTTTGTGCTTTCTTGGCCTGTGGGGACCCGTCCTTCTAGAAATTAACGACACACAGACTTACCTCCAAACCAAGGGCTTGAACATACAACAATGTGATATAAAACTCAGGGCATTAGAAACATTTCTAGTTGAAAACAGGGACAAGCTAGTGAGTAATGGAGTTAACTATGCCAAAGAAATTTGCAATGATCTGGGGATAGTCATGGAGCGTCAGCGTCGACCCAAAAAGAAGAAACAAATGTTTGGTGAAGGATCACGAGATGCTGAATTGCCATACGACATTGAATTGAGGAGAGAAATGTTTTCTTCGCTGGACAGAGTGATCCAAGAAATAACTTTGAGATTTCAACAGCTTCATGAACTCGCTGAGAAATATGCCTTCCTTACCCCATTGAATCTCTTGGATGATAAATGTGAGTGTCAAATAGATCACGATCACGACGACATTGATAAAGAGGAGTTCCTCGTTGAGAGAAAAAGACTTCAGCATTTTGTTGCTGTTGCTGCTATAACTATTAAAGACAGAATACAGACGTGGAAAGAAGGCCCCCTTGAACTTTTCCAGTTTATTCAAAAGTATAACCTTGGGAACTCGGTTCCAAATATAGTAATAATGCTGAGGATTTTCCTCACAATTGCTGTTAGTGTTGCTACCTGTGAGAAGAGTTTTTCGAAACTAAAACTGATCAAGAATTACTTAAGATCTACTATGAGCACCTTGCGGTTGAGAAATCTTGCCATACTGTCTATAGAGCGACAATTGACAGATGAAATAGTTTTTGACAATGTCATTGAAGAATTTGCCAACAAAAAAACAAGAAAAGTTACTTTGTAGAAAGTTGTAGTTTTCATTTCAGAAATAAAGATGGTCCTAATTTTTTACACTTTTTTACTTTTTTCCCTATCTTATATGTCGTTTTTGCTTTTTGTTTAACTGTTACTTATAAAGTTTAAGTATGTTTGGTGTGTATTTAAAGCATACTATATTTGAGTATGTGAAAGTACAGTAATATTATAATGGTACACAAACTATTTAATATATATACTGTATATATATATATATATAAGAGTGAGTCACTGTGCAATATGTATTTTTTGTGGGGGCACGGGGGGGGGTGGGGGCGGCAAACTCAAGGGCCGCCCCGGGCGGCACACACTCTAGCTACGCCACTCGACCCCTCACCTGGGAGACGATCCCTCCACACCGTAACGCTTGGAGGAGCCCCCACACGAGAAGGTGTCAATAGTTTTGAATTAGCCCGACTGCATACAGAGACAAATAAGCGCCAGCGCCGAAAAGACGCTGCCGCCGCCCCTCCCGCACTAGATGCAGCCCTCCACACATGCAACAGCTGTGGACGACACTGCCGATCCCGTATTGGCCTCTCGAGTCACCCCAGAGGTCACTAACGAAAGTAACATTCTTGATAACGCATATTATTGTGTCATAGCTGGATGATCGTCATACTCGATTCCGAGTGACATCAAAGTAGTAGTAGTGATCACACCAGGTGGTCGTACTGCCCAATTGCACATATTTATTGTTCGTCTCAGAGTAAGAATCTCATTCAACATTACTTCAGTATTTTTTTTCTCAGCTACATAGCATCTCTTGCAAACACAAGTTATGTTAGCTCTTGTTTCATTTTAATAACAAAGGTAAAGCTCCTTGCCTCCTGGGCTAATGATTTGGTAGCAGGTATTAATATTGACTACACCTTTTTATACCCACGCTCACCAGCAGCCCAGTAACAAACTCTTCTCTTCTAGGACACAACAGGAGAATCATTTCATGTTTCAATTTATGGTGAAGTTCTCGTGTACTGTCCTCAGTGTCAGGTTAGTGGTAGTCCATTCCCTTGGGGGAAATTACCTGTCTAGGTCGTATGTACTGCACAAGGAAGATTCCCAAGTAACTTACCTGCCCTGACTGACCTTAATGAGATTTCCTCATCAAACAGTGAATGGTTTACCTCGCTTGAGCACAGAGGAGATACAGTCGACCATGAGGCCTGGGAGAGGAGTGACCAGGGCACACAGCAAGTTAGCGTAGCCGAACAGTCGAGAGTAGAAACCCGCTATAGCAAAAATAGTGTCTTAATAAAGTGTAGCTAACTCCTGTGCATAATATTTCAGTATTTAATATCTCCATTTGTAAAACTTACACTATTCTGAATTACATAACCTGTAAGAAGTAACAAGTCTTAATGTTCTCTGAAAGCAAACTGTACTCTCCTCTTGCCTAATATTGATCATTTTCGCGGCTATAGCCTATTATAATATCAAACTCCTGGTGTTTCAATACAAACTTTACACTGCTTACCTTCTTCTTCAGTTTTCGAGAACTTGTTGATCCAGGAGTTGAAGTAAGTACCGAAGAGAACGACTGCGAAAAGGTTGTTGAACAGCCAGAAAAGATACAAAAATGAGGACACGGAAATTATACTGCTGCTGAGGGGTCCTCCTGGCTTCTCGTCTCTCTTCTTTTCAGTATTTTCTGTTTCTGTTGTCTCTGAGGATTAAGACAAGTCAGAGGGAAGGAGAAAGACTGTTTGAATAGCTTTTTTAAAAAGTTTCATGCTTATTACATAACGACCAGTTTTAAGTATAAGTAATTTATTTTAATAATAATTGTAAACCCAAGTATACTGTGAAAATAAGCTCACTATCTTTGTTTTCAGTTGCAAGTGAAGGAAGGAGTTTATGGTCTCTGATTTATATAAGGTTGACGAGCTCATGACAGGTATACAGCGATTAACACAGACTTTAACAGCGAACAATTGAAAGATTCACATTGAAATTTTTTATAAGAGAGTCAGTGAGGAACGACCAGTGACTATGAGCGCTTAAACATATGTTTAGAAAGAGGATCACCAGCCAGGTGGTCTCGAACGTGTCTCAGAAAACTCAAACATGGAGCCAATTAATGCGAACCACATCAACCATGAACAACAATGGCACCCCACATTCATTAAGTACCCGCGTTCATGGAATAATTCGCAATGCTCACCGAGTCTTGTCACAGCAGAGGTGCTTCACAGATTGACACTTGTCCATTATAAACTCTTCAATAATTTCACAAAGGTATTACTTCCCAAGAAAAGATTATAGTATACCTGAACGGTTCACTTCAGTCCTCAGCAATGTGTAAGAGTACCAGGGGTGAGCCCAGGTCCAAAGAGTGAGCACCGCAATTACCACCACTGAGCTCAGAACTCGCACAATTTACAAATTCCTATGGAAACTAAATTTCGTTTCTGAAGACTGGGTCATCTTTAGGACCATTAACCCATGGAAAGGCTTAACTAATTGAAATATGGGAGCTGCAAAGCCCTGGATATTTGACCCTTTCCTCTGGGGAAGGAGATCGCATAGTTATCTTGGGACAATGCCACAATTGAAGAACCAATCGGACCAGTTAAGTATCCCACTGAAGACTAGCTTCTGATATTCTGACTGGGAGAAACCGTGGATTTCTCCAAAGCCTTTCAAGAGCTTCTCTAGCCAGGATCGCTGTTGATATTTAGGAGTCACAATTTATCAATCTCTGTCGGAGAAGGAGCCTTGGTGAAGATTCTCTGGGTTACTTTTAACCCGAAAAGAATTACCTAAACTGTTTGGAACTTAAGAAAACTCAATTGGTCAAAAAATATATCTAGGCATCCTTCTGGTCACTACAGGGCAACCAGAGAGCTGATTCAGTTAAATAATAATCATTCTGAGTTGACTGCCACCTGATCAATCAATTACATTACAATACAACATCCAGCCAAAAATCCATAAATGTTTCAATCTGGTTTGATACGACCATCATTTGTGTCATTTACAGCAACCGAAACCCCCTCAAACCCAAAGCAGAAGTGACTCCTTTTAATTTTTTCCCTCAACCAGGTCATACAACAGAACAGCTACAGTAGATGACATGGTTGTTCTACCTCCTAAATACGTACTAAGTGAGTCGAGTGGTTAACACTATGGCCCGAACTCAGAATGCTGGTTTGAAACAGCATGAAGGTTTAAACTAAGGATCAAGCGAAGATTGAAGATTGTTGTTATTCAGAATGCTGGCTTGAGCCAACAAACAGATCAAACCGGGTTTGAGATTGGATTTGCCGATTCTCGCGTTAATCCAGCTTATAGGCAGGTTTAGCTGTCGATCCGTCATTCAAGATAGCAAGTCAACATGAATTTTGACAGAGAGCGTGTTTTCCAGACAACGATATAGGTTCAGCAAGGGAGATTTCCTTGATATTTTCCGTGATATGGAGCATTACTGGACAGATCTGTTGGCTATGGTTCACCTCTACCTCCCATTCATCAGCTGATGATTGCTTTGGGATTCTTAGCAACGAATAGTTTCCAGGTAAGAAAGATTCTGGTTACTGATTGAGTTATGGAAATGTGTTCAAACACTTTCGTGTTTAGGGTCCATGAAGATCAAGCGGGTAAAAGTAAAGAACGCTGACGTTTCTTTATTTTGAGTGTTTTTCTTTACGAAAAAATATTTTGATGTATTTTAAATATAACTGAATCAATCCTGAGTGAATTTTGATTTTAATGTATTAATAAAGGAAAGTCTTTTCTTAACATTACTAATCAGGGGAAATTTGGGTTTTAAAGAACAGAAAGAAACCCAACTTAACCGAACCGAACCTCCCCAGGTTACTACACCCTGTACTGATTCGTCTCGCTTTGGTTATGAATATTGACACCTGTCCCAGAATATATCTACAGCACTAGCGTAGCTAGGGGGGTGGGGGGGGGCGGTCCGCCCCGGGCGGCACTTTTGGGGGGGCGGCACTTTTGGGTCTGCTCATCACCCATATCTGCAGCTACTGGAGACGTTAATCCATCCCTTTGTATCGGCGGCAAGTTAATCCTTGTCGTGTCTGACCTAACACCTGACCCACATCATCACGGCCACGTCATGAGCTACACCCTTGCTATGCGCCCCCCGCCACACACACAACCTGTAACCTGTTGAGGATTAAGGAAACAACTTCAAACAAGTACGCCAGTGAGCTCATGTGGTGTGGGTCAGGTGTTAGGTCAGACACGACGAGGATTAACTTGCCGCCGATACAAAGGGAAGGATTAACGTCTCCAGTAGCTGCAAAACCATGCAGTCTCGGGTCATATCAGTTCATGTACAGCCGACCAATCCACCAGTTACAAGCAATTCACTTCAGTTCTGCACAAGTCTCCATCGTGACAAGACGAGTGAGTCACTGTGCAATATGTATTTTTTGTGGGGGCACGGGGGGCGGCAAACTCAAGGGGCCCCGGGCGGCACACACTCTAGCTACGCCACTGATTCTACAGTTTGTATGTAATTGTTCTTCCTCGATGAATTTCTTTGTTATATAACAGCACAGCCACATTGTAAAACAGTAACATAAATCATTATAATTTGATCTTAATTTGATTGTAATTATAATAACAAAAGTAACTTATGATGTGCAAGAAGAGATTTTTCCTCCTCCGTAAAAAGTCGTCCAGTCATATTTGCCCCCATAGCCTTGTAAACATTACTCTCGATGGTGATTGGCTGTCGTAATGGTGTAAATGAAACGTGATTGGCTGGAATTTCAGGTTTAGAATCCTTGCTTGGAAAGGACGAGTTGTATGTTCTAAGTAAACACAAGAAATATGTTCTGCCACGTTCGTAGAGTGATACGGTATATATAATTTGTAATACAAGTTTAAAGTCCTGCTATAATAGTCGAGATAAATTTATTTCTCTAGAAAAAAGGCCGCCATTTGCAATGACGTCACCACCTACCCCGCAGATGACGTTCTCCAACAAACTCACCACTCACCACTCACCAGTCACCACTGCAGTCGGAGGCAGGCCGTATTCAAGAACAGTCATGGAGTGTACGACGCCATTTACGATGACCTTCTTGACCTGATCTTGTTTCAGGAATACCACCCTTTCGAAGCTCTGGAGAGATCTCGAAGCTTTGATATTTTGAATACAGTGCTAACTCATAATTCCCACCAGGAAACTTGCTTCGAGACTCCTCCAAAGCTTCGAAAAATGCAGAGTTCCATGTGTTAAAGACGATATTGCTGAAAAAAGATCGGGGCAAGAAGGTCATTGTAAATGACGTCGTACACCCCATAACTGTTCTTGAAAGAAGCCCGGTTAACCCTCGTAACAAGGAGAAATATTAAGCTTATTTCTTTTTTTATCAAAAGAGTCGTACAGACACATCGTTTCTCGAGAGGTTGTCAACTGGAATGAGGAACTGCAATTACCAACCTGGTATATGAAATTGTTAAATGTGACACAACCTGGCCGTTGGAAAGATTGAACTACAGGGCTTCACGA